TTTAATGATAGGGCTTGTTTCTTAAAGTAAGGGTGACGAACGAGCACACAGTCCACCTGACGGTAAATAAATGCTGCCATTAAGAAGGATTAAGAACTTTACTTAGACGCCCATTACACGCCTAGGCAAGCGTCAATCAGTTCGATTAATCATGACTGAGGTTTGAATGATGGAATAATTTGGACATTACACGCTCATGCTGACTGATCGTCAGTCAAACCCAAATTTTCGGAGTGAAAGGACGTACCTATAACCTAAGTTCATTTTCGATTCACCATTTAATTATAATTTTATATCTTGAAAAGAAAAAGAAAAAAAACGAATAGGAAAAATTGTAATATTTAATATCATTTTACCCATTTTAATTTAACGCGCGCAAACGTTAGACCTCTTGGAGTGCATAATCGATACGCGGTTTTATTTAAAACGCATTTATGGACGAAAAATAAGCTTAACTTGTACATTTATTCGTATAGGGTGGATGCCCCTATTACCAGCCTTTTAGTGCCAATTTCAATTTCCTTTTGTGTATCTAATGCCAGCATAGCATAGGGCTATGCCTTTTGAGTTTTTGGTAGGTACCTATTGTAGGTAAATTTTAGGGGCACTGAAATATATTCACAACAACTTTTAATTTTAAATCATGCATGTCACAAGTATGGAATATGTATTAAGATAGACGACAACAATTATTTTATTTTAATGTTTTACTTCTTACCTTACTGTGGTTTAGCTTTAAGCAGTTACATTTTTATCTTTTAACACTAAACAATTAATTAAAATAATATTATAATAAAAATTATGTATTATAGTACACCGATTTCTTATAATTTAATCATCCAAGTTTTACAATCTTTATCATCATTTCAGCCCTTCACAAGTCGACTACAGAACATCATCCTCCATAGACTGCCGCAAAGCATGGTCCTGAACCACTTTCCTTGTTATGACTTTTTCATTTATGTTCTTAAGTTATAATAAAATTAGTATTACTAAGTTGTAGTTAATTACATTTATTGTTTGTTTTTGTCTTTCCCAAAAAATAATTAAATATTGTATGGTGTTCTTAACATATACCAAATGTCTGAAAAGCAAGTACGTATCATTTGTTAAACTTTTACATCAAACACCAATTTTAAAATATAGACGAATTGACCATAACTTACTTAACTATAAAATAAGTTATGTTTTTTTTATATAGGATAGGGTGACAAACGAGCACACAGTCCACCTGATGGTAAGTGGCTACTATGACCCATAAACATCTACATCTATCCTCAATATAGACTCAAGATGCAGATGCGTTGTCACCCGTGAGGACTAAGATGGAATGCCTCTTTGCCAGTAAAAAGGGTCTCCGGTTCTCTACACTCACCATACGAAACACAGCAGCGTTAAGCTGCTATTCTACGTTGGTTTTCTTTGTGAGTTCAAATTAATGGTATTTATGCTAGTTTATGACAGCCCTGATTTATATTACGTGGTTGAAATAAGGTACTTCTTATTATTTACGTCAAACCAAATAACAGTCGGGCCACTGACATTATGCACTCCATAAATTTCGTATATCTAATTACAGCCCCATTAATTTCCACTAAAATAAAATAAAAAACTTATAAATTTAAACAAAAATAGCTGCATTACTATGTCTATAGTCACATTCATACAAATCAAAAAGCCTAAAGATGAGCTAATGTAAAATATGCTTATGTTTTGATTTTTAATTTAACACTGTTAGGTTTAAAACTGTGAGGTAATATTTGAAATATACTTTCCTCTAATTACGAAGAATTTTTAGCCGACCATATTTGTAATTAAGACTACTAGAAATATTATTTACGAAGTAAAAAGGCGGAAAGGCTGGAATTAGGGACGTGGCTGGTATTAGGGGCATCCAACCTACCCGAGGTTTTTCGTGACCCACAACTCGGGGAGAGCCTCAAAATTTAAAATAAAGTCTTTTTCTGGCTGAAGCACATTTGGCGGGAGTGGCGACGGGCTGCGCGAGCGCGTGAAACCCGCCTCTTCAATATATTCTGCGTCCGCCTCCATTGCTGTCTGAGCGTTGACTGACGCGTGATTGATGACATGCCATTACACGTTAAATCAAAATTCGTGACTGAATAGTTGATTGACGTAAAAATCAAAATATCCAGATATTTGTCAATCAATTTCATGCAACTGTCAATAACTACATTACACGATAGGTTATTCGTCAATCACAACCGTGATTGTTGTAAAACTGACAGCAAAACCTACCGTGTAATGGACGTCTTAAAACTGCTATTTTCGGTATGTTCCGATTTCACAGAAAGCGGGACGGTGACGGTGGACCGCTTTACTCATTAGTGTCTGAACTAATTTATGAATTATTGTACTATAACACAACTATAAAACAACACTATAAAACAGTTTAGAAAAAAGTAATTCGTCAATTTAAAAAAAAAATAAGACGAAAGCATTTATACAAATCTCTCGGTTACACACGGGTCTGTTTTCAATTGATTTTAAACTTCAATTGATTTTCTTTACACAAATACAGCTTTTAACTTATAACAAAAAAGCACGCACTCACGCACTCTCGCAAGCACCCACTCACGCACGCACGCAAGCACGCATGCACGCTCGCTCGCTCGTACGCACGCACGCACGCACAGACGCACACACGGCCGGACGTCCAGCCGAGAATAATCGGAACGGCTTCCTAGGACCTCAAAACGTGGAGATCTGAAAACTAGCAATCTCAAAATCTGACCGAAATCTGTAACTTCCTACTTTTGAAAATTATTAATTTTCAAAGCGGAAAGTTACAAATCAAAAAGAGGCTTACGAAAGACTTTACTCTTATATAAAAGAATTCTATATTTTACTAGTGATCCACCCCAGCTTTGCCTACTCATTCAGATTTTTTTGAATAATCTTCAAAGACAATTTATTTATCATTTATTCGATTTCACAAAAAATACACCAAGTTTTTTGGATAAAATATAGTATAGATCACTCCTGGCATTGGTCTCTATCTGTACGTGAAGTTTCATCACGATTGTTTCAGCCATTTCGAAGATTAGCGTGGACAGACATACAAACAGTCATAAATGTTTTAAATTGTTATTTATATCTCAATAGCATTCAAATAAACCCTTCAGCTTAATAGAAGCCAGTTATTTTGATATTACAAACAGACACTTCAGTTTTATTTGTGTGTATAGATAATATATACAGGATATTATACTATCAAATATAACTAAGCATTACTAATAAATTAAATATTAGGTTAGCTAGGCACAGTAGTACATTATAAAGGACGTCCCCCTGAGCATGCATTTACTATCGTATCGTATTCGTATCGCCATCGAGTAAGTTTGTACAAGCAACACGAAGCTCAAATTACGTCCATCAGGGGCGCTGTTCATATTTTGATACAATTTTTGCCGATGACGATACGAAATTGTTGAAAATTGTGAGGTAAGCATTTTATAGTCATTGATTTAATAGTAATATAAATAAGTCAATAGTTACACGCAAAGTTTAATCACTTGTTAGAGAGTTTATTAAAATATTATGTTGAATGTTAATGAAACAAAAAGTGCGAATATAATAGCCAGTATTAAATCAAATACACGCATTCGATTTAATTTTGAACCTCCGATGGTTTATTATTCTGTATCTAATTAATTTTATATCATCATTACTTTTTACTTATTAATTGATGTGCATACCTATAATACCCATATTGAATTGAATCAAACTAAATAGAAGCAATTTTACTTCCAACTGTAGTGCTATTATATTGGTATAGATGGCGTTTAAAGCTTTTATAAATCTTTGATGTGTATACTACAAGCCAATAGTAAAATCGTACAGGATTAATTTATCGACTTCAAAACTTAATAAAATCCCTCTTTTTTTTAATCAACGTGAATTGTGACTTAGATAACGTGTAAAATACCGTAATGTAAATAATATGACTTTAGATACATCACGAGTCTTCTGTCAATAAAGTAGGTCAAGGTTAAATGCATTGATGTATTGTGTTGTTGTGTTGTAGATTTAAAATGTAGAAGAAATATGTCAATAAACAACATAAATACAACATCAAAAGGCAGAAATAAATTACTGTGTAACTTTTGTACAATATTTTGTCTCAAGAACAATGTTTAAACAATTTCAAGCTTTCTAAAAATTTTCAAATGGCAACATTACATGAGCTTATTTTTGGGTCACTCTGTTGCTCGCTTCCAACTTGTACTTCGTTTGGATTTTTATAGAGGTGCCTTTCGCTTCACTAAACTTGCACTTGCAACATAGCATAGCATAGTTTAGTATTTTCATTCTATTGAGAAAGCTGGCGGGTGTGCAAATGTGTTAAAATACTAAACGAAAGTGCTGCAAATTTATATTAAACGAGTCATATGTGTATATTTTAATAAATAGTTGATGATATAGATAAGGTAAGTGCATTAAAAGTAACAAAGTGCCAATGTGAATGTGATAAGTGCTTACTTACCTACTACTACGACTTTTCATCTTGAAAATTTCCACTTGTGAACTTTTAAAAATAAAGTTTCTATGAAGTTTCTTTGTTGACTTTTAACTTTTTTGGAAGTTTGTCCTGTTGCATGGTGATGCTGAACTTGTTTTTATTATGAGCGTCACGAAAACTTTGCCCAGAAAATAGTAAAACTTAGAATTTTCGTCGCCATTTTATTTTTTGTCGCGCTGGAAAAGCGGCCATTTTCTTTGTGCCGCGTCGCTTACGACAAGTCGTATGTGGTCCATAAAGTTAATTTTGTTAAGTTGAGGCGTGATCTCATCATATGAAGTGATTTGGTGAGATAATTTACTTATGAAAATTGATAATCGTATTCAGTAGCTTGTGTGTGTGTCTTTCGAGTAAAGTTTTCGTGATGGCCTAATTACTGCGTGGTGTTTAGAATTAGTGTTGATTGAGTGCTTTGGTGTCGTAGGGTTGAGGGCGCGGCGAGTGGCGAGGCGGCATTATGGACGACGACCAGCAGTTTTGTCTGCGGTGGAACAACCACCAGTCAACTCTGGTGTCCGTGTTTGACACGTTATTGGAGAAGGGCATACATGTGGATTGTACCCTAGCTGCTGAAGGACAGATGCTCAAAGCACATAAAGTAGTTCTGGCCGCTTGCAGTCCCTATTTCGAGGTTGGTATCACTAAGTGGTTTAATGCTATGTAGGTCAATTACTATCACGAGTAACTTGTAAGGCAGCACAGATTTGCTCTAATAAACATTCCAGTTGCTGCGCATTAGCTTTCATGTGTTAGCAATTAGTTTTAGATTCATGCACAGATGAGTTGGCAACAGAAAGTTGCCTCTACTACTTTTCTAAATTCACTATTACTGTATCAAGTGCCTATCTAATAATGATTACCTAGTTAATGAAGTGTAAATTACATTGACGCATTTTTCGAATGTTAATTTGCCACAAATTACAAATGCATTAAGTGCTTAGTTAAAATAAAAGAACATTGAATATATTGTTATAATCATTCACATTTCAATTTAACATTACATTATTTACAAACTTATATCAACAATACTACAGTATTGCTAAAATGCACTGTTTTGTTACAGAAAGTATTATCACAGCAATTTGACAAGCATCCAATTATTATTCTTAAAGATGTCAAATATGCAGAGTTAAGAGCTATGATGGATTACATGTACCGAGGTGAAGTAAATATATCGCAGGACCAATTAGCGGCATTGCTTAAAGCAGCTGAGTCTCTACAGATCAAGGGTCTCTCAGATAATAAGCCCTCAAGGCCACCGTCGCGCCCAGCACAGACTGTACCCGCACACCCGCCTCGAGCACCCTCCCCTCCACCTCAGGTTAGCAAAATTACTAAAAGGTTAAATTTACATACTTTCATGTATGTTTACTGTATTCACTAATGTATGTGTAATTCCTGAATTTGAGAAGGACTATGTCTTACACACAATAATACATTATATATATACTAATATATATATATACTAATATTAATAAACTATTATTAGCTAGATTAATTATTAAAATCAATAAATTGGCTCATTATGATATGGTTACATTTTCTGACACTGAAACTCAATTGTATAGGCTTTATTAGTTTTATAAGTGTACATGCTAACTCAAAGGCACTCATCCTAATCTATTCATGCCTGGTATAATAATGCTTTTACCATTTGATCTATGGATCATATTTCAGGCTATGAATTATTGTTAAATATATGGGAATCATAGCACTCCCAGATTCTAAAACCAATAATTTATTTACTGCTTAAATATAGAGATGACCTTACAACTATTTAACAAATAAGCTTTATTTTTATTGCTGTTTCTTTTTAAATATTTGCCCACATTTCTCATATCAAAGGTCCACCGTGCTTCAGTACTAATTTTTAACTCCAGGTTTCTTTGTAATATTTTCAGTCACCATGCATAAGCTTGTGGCTAAAATATTTCAACACTACTGACTGGTATTATATTTGAATTGTTTGGAATTTAAGGGAAATTGTGCAAAATTATCTCCCCAAACAATTGAATGAGTAGAAACCTTTTTCAATATCAGTATATCATTAATGTAATGAATCTATAAATGTAAAATATAAACCTTATACCAAGTAATGGAAGACACGAAATATCTTTTATTTATTTATTTATTTATGTAATAACAACCTCTTTTACATAAGTTTGTATGTATATAAGTACATATATTATTGTACATGCATTTCGTACTTTGTACCATAAACAGTGCAATTGAAATATAATATAATTCTTGCTAACTACCTACGTATATAACAGTAATGGGATGTTCTCATCACATATTTTGCGTCATATCATAAAATATTGGTGCATGTACATGTAAGTGTGAAATTATTTAAATAGCAAAAATAAATAATTTTATGGAACCCTGGTGACTTTTCCCCAGAACCCTTAGGTTCCATCGAACACTAGGAATCGCTGATCTAGAGGGAGCACCCACCACTATTTACCAGTGCCTGTCCCTTGTAGCCTGTCACTCGAGAATCTTTCATTTCTATCGGTTGTTGATTTTTTGAGCTATATGCCTGGCCCATTACAACTTTAACATACTGATCTGTTGCACTATGTTGGTTACCCTGCTTTGCTGCAGATATATTCATTAAGAAGTCTATTATGTAGAGCAACTGAGCATAGCCCTCCCCACAGCTCGTTGATCGACCTTGGATGTCTTTATACCCAGCTGTGAAGAACCACATATCAAATCTATTTTTCATCACTGGCAACATGCAGTGTTGTATTATAGTATCCTTATTGATAAATAAGATGTAAGATGATAAAACATTGATGATATTCTGTTAATATAGAACTTTATAATATTGATCACCAAACTAACAATGGTATTCAGAGACAATTTCTTTGGAACTTTACAGTGTAACTTACTAAAGTTGGGTACTACATTAACAATAGTATCGGAGACAATCTCGAGTTTAAACTCTGAAAACTGGAGTTTATGTTTAAACTTGAGATTGTCTTTGAATACTAGTTATTTGTTATGGATTATAAAGTCATTTTTTATGTATGTATATACATCTGTACAATATACAAAACGTGTATAGACATAATATCAAAGTGACTATTCATAAAACTTAAACCAACCATTTTATTACAAACCTGGTTGTATTGATAGTCTTGGCTTTAACCCTAGAACCGTACCCATATAAGAATTTCATTAACGGTACCCTGGGGTACAAGCACACCCCAAATAAAAAAACACATTATTCAAAAAGTAACACATTTTTATTATAAATCAATGTACATATGCTGTCTTACATTAATTTTGGTCTCAATGAAATTTGACGGCTCCGTGGCGCAGTGGCTTAGCAATCAGTTGTTGCGCTGGGGGCTGCGGGTTCGAATCCCGCACGGAACAAGTATTTGTATGGCCTACAAATAATTGTTCCGGGTCTGGATGTTTGTCCTTGTGCAATTTATGTTTGTAAACTGCCTCCACGACACAGGAGAAAATCCTAGTGTGGGGGTAACGTTTTTAAAAAAAAAAAAATTAAGGCACATAAAATTAGGAACTTAAACAATTTTGGCAAATTTTTTTGGTGGTCATTACAAATGAAAGTTTTGCACGTGGCACATTGTGTGCGTGTTTACGGTCCTTGGACCTCAGACATAAAGAAAATCTTCCAGATTTTGAATTTTCATTAGTTACCGCAGCTAATGATCACTTTTTTTCTAATATATCCCCAATACTTATTTGCAGAGATTTTGGCAAAGTACAATACTGAAATTTATCTTCCAGATGAGGTTTGACAAGATCCAAATGCCAGTGTCTTCAGATAAGTGCGCCTATTCTTGAAAACTTGCTTATTAGTGGCATTTGATGAATTGAGCAATATCATGGCATTGATCCCCACAATATTCAGTAATCCATAGAATACATAAAGGCTCCAGTGGCGAGTTTTGCGTGACACACTATATGTGTGACAAAGTTGGTCAAACATATCTACTCCACCTTTCGTTTTATTATAAAATTATATTATATCTGGCAAATTAACAGCTTTGTCTTTGTCTGCTTCGTAGTGCATGGTGGACAGCATAAGGACGTTTTTCTTTTTTCCTTTGCTAAGCTTTGGAGGCACATATGAAAGTAGAGTAAGTTCATCATGAAAAGCAAACATTGATGTATTTAGGTCACGGTCTTTCGTATCAGTAAAAAGATTCGGTATTTCTGTTTTATTTCTCTTTAGTGTTCCAACTGTAGTAACATTTTTGACAGCAGTTTCTGAGCGGTAGGTATAGAGGTAAACCAATTATCATATGTTATATTTCTGTTGGTATTGTGAATAGAAGTTGACAGCTCAGTTTCAAGGCACTCCCCTTCTTGCCTCAGCCAGTATCGGTATCCTCGGAGTCGACATATCGAGTGACGTGCAGTTTCGTGGTCACTTGGAAGAGAAGGCCAAATTGGCCTCTAAAAAGCTTGGCGTGCTCAGCAGAGCGGGACAGTATTTCATGCCGGCACACCGCCTGCAACTTTACAAGGCGCAGGTTCGGCCTCACATGGAATACTGTTCCCATCTCTGGGCAGGGGCTCCCCAGTGCCAGCTCCTTCCACTTGACCGCATCCAGCGCAGAGCGGCTCGAATCGTCGACGACCGAGCCCTTTCCGATCGGCTCGATTCATTGGCACTGCGAAGAGATGTTGCATCTCTTTGCATTTTCTTTCGCATCTTCCATGGGGAGTGCTCTGAGGAATTGTTCGGATTAATCCCAGCCGCCAAATTTCACGAACGCACATCGCGGCAGAACTCCCGATACCATCCACACCATCTGGATGATTGGCGGTCCACCACTGTGCGATTTAGAAGATGTTTTCTTCCTCGCACAACTTCCTTGTGGAATAGTTTACCACCAGGGATTTTTCCGGACCGATACGACTTAGGGACCTTCAAGAAAAGAGCCTACTCCTTTTTAAAAGGCCGGCAACGCATCTGCAATTCCCCTGGTGTTGCGGTTGTTCATGGGCGGCGGTAGTCACTTACCATCAGGTGAGCCGCATGCTCGTTTGCCCCCTCTCCTATAAAAAAAAAAAAAAAAAAAAAAAGCTCAAGCGCGTAATACTCAGCAACGGGTATTCCACTGGGAGTAGAATATTTTCCTGTGTACGTAAGGCTATTTATCATATAACATGTATTAGCATCACAAAACATCAGTAGCTTAATTCCATATTTATCTGGCTTTGAACGGATGTACATCCGAAATGGACACCTTCCCCTAAAATCAAGCAATTGCTCATCTATTGTAGTGCAGTCAGAAGGAGAATACAGGTTCTTTGAAGTCTCAGTTACATGATCAAAGAGTTCTTTTACGGGCGTCAATTTATTCACCTGTCTTCTCTCAGCTCTTGTCGAACGATCGTCAAAACGGAGACAATTAGTTAAAAATTCAAATCTTTTTTCACTCAGTAGCCTGGCAATAACTTATACCTGTATTTTTGTCGAAGATTTCTTTCACAGTCAGGTTTTATTCTCAGTACACCAGCCAAGTAGTATAGTCCAAAAAGGGCTTTCAACTCTGTTTTTGACGTATCTCGAACAAATGAAGGTCGTATGCTCGATGGAATAAAATCATCATCTTCAGTGAGAGTTGACCTGTCAGATTTATATTTTTTGCGTTGCTCAGAAATCTCTTGGTCTGTGTTATTCATGATATTCTCCAAAACGTCATCCGTGATAAACATTTGCCAAGTATCTATTGCAGTAGTAATAAATCTAGCAGAACCATTGTTACCTGGAGGATGGAATATGATGTTACTCTTTGGTGTGCGTGATGAACGAGGATGATACCCATGCCACACGAACTTTTCGCAATGTTTCTGTTTTTTTGTGCCTCTGCCACGTAAAACATCTGGAACACTAAGGACAGTAACTGGTGCTTTATTAGAATCCAGTTGCAAAGATTCTTCAAGTTCTTCATCAGAATCTTGAGGTGATTCTAGTTCTAAAGCATCAGGACTACCAGCTGGTCTAATATTCTCTGTCAAGCGAAAGTCTTCAATAATTTCATCTCTTTCATCTTCTAACTCCTCGCCTAAAAAAAGATCTTCATCTTCCGCCTCCAACAGAACACTTTCTATTTCACTCTCCTTCAAATTTCGCAATGACGTCATCTGAAAAAATAAAAAAACAAATAGCACCATAACACAAATATTTAGAGGCACACTTGTATCTTATATCTATTAGTAAAAAAAATTACACTGCAAAAAAACCTACATTTTTTAACAAGTTGATTGTGCATATAAAGATGTTCTATAACCAAAAATCACACACAATGTCAGTAGATAATACAAACAGCATAAAAAACACGAAATAACAAAAAAATAATAATGATTGAATACTTACGTTGAAAGTACCCTGGGGTGCTGGTGTACCCCACAAACAGCGTGTCGTGTCGAAATCTATATTATTTTTATGAAGGGATATAAAAAAAAGACTTCATTTATGAATTTCCTAGTCAGTATCTAATAATAAAACATATTATACTTGACATAGAACAATAGGTCATCAATTAAAAATATAATTAACATAACATTTTTCTTCTAAAAGATAATTTTTTAATTTTTCTTTTCACAGTCAAACACAATAGCTATAGATATTATCAATTGATTGATCACCTTCGGTTTTTAATTTGCCCTTCATTACGGAATGGTACAAAGCATTCTACACATATGGCTACATCACATTGAATGCATTCATAGACACTTCTCTTTGGCTTAGACGTGGTACTGCAGTATCTACATCTTTTTCTAAGATTTTATAAGCTTATGATCACTCTTCATTTTCTTGAAAAGGAAGCCAAGGTATAGTATCTCCTGTGAATTTAGATCAATTTTCGTTTGTATGAAGTATTAGTATAGATAGAATATTAGTATTAGTATTATTGAAGTTACTATTCCTGTACATCGTTGGATTTCGAAGTTTTTCATTACTCCACTTATTTAGATCTCCATTTACTAAATTCTCTCAAAGACCTGCGTCTTCGGGAGAAATTAACTCGTAATACCTTGTCGGGTTCGGTGATAGCGGCGGTTGTGGAGGTGGCGATGATGGTGGCAGAAACAAAAACTTCTGTGGTGGTTGTGATGAAGACGATGTTCCAGGACCTGATCCGTCATTTCGACTACGTGTGCGCATAATGCTGGTATTCAAAGTAACACTGTTGTCGAAACAATCATCAGCATCTGAATCACCACTGACGTCCGATTGGCCTGGTCATCTGTTATACCTACGACATTATATCAGTCCTCATCTCATCATCATCATTACAGCCCTTCACAAGTCCACTGCTGAACATAGGCCTCCCCCAAAGAATGCCACAAAGCACGGTCCTGAGCCACCTGCATCCATCGACTTCCTGCAAATCTTACCAGGTCGTCACTCCATCTAGTGGGGGGACGCCCTACACTTCGCCTGCCGGTACGAGGCTGCCACTCGAGAACCTTTCTTCCCCATCGGTTGTCGGTTCTTCGAGCTATATGGCCGGCCCATTGCCACTTCAGCTTACTAATCCGTTGGGCTATGTCGGTCACTCTGGTTCTACTGCGGATATCCTCATTTCTGAGTTTATCACGCAGAGAAACTCCGAGCATAGCCCTCTCCATAGCTCGCTGAGCGACCTTGAGCTTCCTCATCCGGCCAGCAGTGAAGGACCACGTCTCAGTTCCGTATGTCATCACTGGCAACACGCACTGGGTGTACAGTCTCGTTTTCAAGTTTTGAGGTATACCTGACGAGAAGATGTGCCGTAATTTCCCGAACGCTGCCCAACCGAGTTGAATCCGTCGATTGACCTCTCGGTCGAAGTTGGACTTACCTAGTCGGACTATTTGTCCCAGGTAAACATACTCGTCAACAACTTCGAGCTTAGTGTTCCCAACAACTACCGGCATAGGTGTGACATGGACATTAAACATGATCTTTGTTTTGTCCATGTTCATCTTAAGACCTATCCGTTGGGAAACACTATTGAGGTCATTGAGCATAGTGCTTAGGTCCTCCAGCGATTCTGCCATAAGGACTATATCGTCGGCAAATCGAAGGTGAGTGATGTACTCGCCATTGATGTTGATACCGTATCCTTTCCAGTCCAGAAGCTTGAAAACATCTTCCAATGCAGCGGTGAAGAGTTTCGGGGATATGACGTCACCCTGTCTTACACCTCTCTGCAATTGGATAGGTTTCGTACTTTGGTTCTGTACTCGGATAGCCATCGTAGCCCTACTGTACAAGCACTTCAACACTTCGATATACCGACAGTCCTCATCTAGTTACTCCAATTTGCCCTAAGTGTATGTATGTCTAAAACAATGTGGAAATTACAATGCAAAACTATTATATAACGATTTTCGTAAGTACCTGCATACCTCCAAAAAACATGGCGAAAAAAAACCAAAACATTCATAATAATAGGTTATAACTACCGAGCAAGGTTGTTTATGGTAAATTTCTTATTTTATTATAACAAATGCTTATATACTTGTTATAAATATGGTTCAAAGGTATTACTCCTAAATAAATACTCAATACAATAGCTCAAAGTTAGGTAGGCAATTTTTAGGGTATATTTTTTCAACAGACCGGTTTGTATTCCATTGCCAAAAATACATGTTTTTCTTATTATCCTCGATTACATTTGCACATGACATCAAAGTATATACTATAAAATAATAGTTTCACTTACTTTTTCCAAGAAGACAAGTTTTTTTATTGCCATAACACTTGTAAACACGTAACATACAAACTTGATGACATCAAATGTTCATGCGCGGGTGCACGGTGGCCAGTAGACAGGCCATCTTGAAAATAGGCGCGTATCTGTGATTGTGCGTGACGAACTTAAAAGCTGGTTTGTCAACGGGCCAGTGTGCTCTAACATGGGTCGTAAATGTTGATAAGATTCAATATTTAAATAAAAATCTATGAGATAACGACCTTGAAGTGACTGTCTAGTTTACTGGCCACTTTGTATGAGCTGTCCTATAAAGGGTTAAGAAGAATCTTTCTAACGAAAGAAGCTCCTTAGCTTTGGCGGGCGCCATTATCTTCGCGGAATTTGGCATTGTTGAATAATTCCATACTTTACATTCATTTTTTCATTTCATTTTATTTGGCACTAGGTGATACCCGCGACTTCGTCCGCGTTGCATCATATATTAACAAAGTTTTATGAGTGAGTGTGAAGGAAAAAACATTTAAGACAATATTTCTTCGTAAATAATGTTATTCGTTGCTCCGTTTGTAGCCAAAATATAAATGATCTGGGTTAGTAACGCGAGTGCACGCAGCGTACAGTTGACCTTGTGAAAGTCCCATATTAAAATCGTTGTTTCTTAAAACTTTAATAACTTAATATTAAATGAAGATATCACAATATATTTTTTTTAGATAAGGGCCAAGTGTCTAAGAAATAAAACTTAGAAAATCTTATTGAAATCTATCCAGTAGTTTTTCCGTGATTCAAATGCAAACCTCTATAATTTTATTTATATAGGTTTTTCTGTGGGGCTTCTTAATTTAAACATGTACTAGTTTGAACCTGATACTAATTATAAAGTACTAAAACAAATTCTAAAGTAAAGAAGTGTAGCTTTTTAAATTAGTTGTAGTTTTTTAGTAATCTAAGGGTTACCTAAAACGGATATCTACATTTACTATGGAGGGGGGGAAGGTTAAATAAAATGGCACACTATTTTAACAACTCCCTGGTTCTAGCTCTATTCATCCTCATTTCATTGTAAGTGTTCAATACCTAAAGCCAGCAGAACTAAAATAGTTTAACATGTGTATATATCCTATAATAGTTTACAATATAACAAATACTATACACACTACATTAAACCAATACTACTAACAATATGCACAGGGTATTCTAGAATAGGTTCTACTATCTCATATTGAAAATCACTAGTAAAATATTATGTGAGCCACAATTATTCATATATCATAAATACTTTTAAATATATATTATATGCATAAAAGAAAAGAATATAAGATAAAATATAGTTAAGAAAATAAATGAAATGAAATGTCCCCTTGACAGGGTAGATCGAACTGCCGAGGGTTAGGGTAAAAGGAAATAAATACTGACAGAAGATGTGGGCAGTATTGAGAAGCATTGCCTTTTGTATTAAAGCCAAATATATCCTTAATACAATATCATGCTTATTTATTATTATTACTTTAATTTTATTTGTGGAACATCCAATGTAATTTGTGGGTAGTTAATGATTTTCGATCAGTCTCATCCAATGGAATGATTATGATTCCATATGGGATTTATTAACATTACAATAAGTCTGTAGGTTATCCCTGTATATTGGCCTCTCCCTCGCACAATCTTTCATGAAATATAATGAAAATGTAACATTTAGTTTCTGGCTATTCACCCTAGATGCGTCCTGAATTTTACTGAGGAAGATTTTTTATTAGTTTAGATACATAAATTTCACAAGGACGAACATCCAGACCTGGAACAATTATTTGTAGGCGGTATAAATGTTTGTTCCGTGCGGGATTGAAACCAGAGGACCTTAGTGCTGTAACTCATTGCTAAGCCACTGCGCCGTGGAGCTGTCATTAAACTATTAGATTGGGGTTAAAAGGGTGCGTGGTGTACGTTTGCAGGTACGCGATGGTAGCGTGGACAGCCGAGCGAGCTCGCTGTCGCCGAGCCGCCGTCGGAAGAAGGCGCGGCGTTCGCTCGACGGCGAGGCGGCTAGTGAGCCGCCCCCCGCGGACGAGGCGCCCGCCGCCCCCACCCCGGCGCCCGCAGCCGCGCCCGCGCCCGCTCCCGTCGCCGCCCCCGCGCTCGCCCTGGCGCACCAGCCGGCGCCCAGAGACACGGTCGAGGACCTCACGCTGGACGAGGAGCACGACGACCCGCCTGCGCACCACAACGACGTCGTGCGCAGTAAGTGTTTCTCTATCTCCTTCTCATTCTTTATACTTATCTGTATTTCTCTTTCACGCTCTTAAATAGCATAAGGCTGACAAACAAACACAGAGTCCACCTGGTGGTAAGTGAAAGCTGTGGGCCATAGACACATAAATAAATAAAAATTCACAAAATACCAGTGTGAAATATCTGCTAGTATATAGAAATGGAGATTTATTACTGGCTACAATGTTTTATTATAGTCCTCAGGAGTGACAACGCTTCTGCATTTTGATTCTTAATTGAGGATAGATGTAGGTATCTAGGGGTTACAGCATCCACTTGTATCATCGAGTGATAGAATCACCTTGGCAAATTATTGCACAATGGCACTGTATGCCATTACTAAAAGGAGTGGAGCGGCGCATCTTCGTGAATTAACTATTTAAATATCTTACATAACTATAAAATAATGACTCAATATTTGATCACTTGTATCTTTCTTACAGTACATAGAAGGTGATCACAAACAAGTGTTAAGCTTAAAATACTTGCAAATAAGAATTAACTAATAATACTTACATTGTTCGGCTCAGACTATGCGCAATGAACATACTAGCAGCGCTGAAGTTAAGAAGGCATAGTAAGAGGCATACAGTTCGCGCTTTAGGGGCTAAATCAAATACGAGAACATTTTAACTGCGCATTCATTTTTTAGCATAATGTGTTTACATAATGGAATTCGATACACAATTGTAGATCTTGAGCAAGGTAGCAACAATCATAAATGTCGTGCCAACGCTCTAGTGCTAGTCATCATATGATTTATAGGTAATTCCTTGAGTTGTCTGTGTCAGTGTTTATTTGCCATAGTATATGATACAAGCATCATTCTGTCATCCTATTGCATACTTAATTATGTTTACCCATTGACCATAAAATATGGGTTTACCGTCAACATAAAATGCAATTAATGACTAAAATAGTTGTGAATAGTCATTAAATGATTCAACCAATTACACCAACCAGAGTTATTACATCGAAAACTTAAGTGCTAAATATGTCCAATATGTCCCAGCGTTTATAAGATAATGCAAATAAATAATTATAAATTAAGATTTCAAACTTGTATTATGAGCAGGCGTGTCACTTTGTAAAAATCTGAGGTATGGAAAATGGTGGCGCGATTTTCAAATTTGTTCGCATTACTCGTGGGGTATTAAGGTTTAAGAGTTTGCAGTGTATATACTCAACTTATTTATTGAACTATAAGATGTGGGGTATTGAGGTTTAAGGGCTTGCGATTTATTTATATGGGGTTTGTAGTAATATGCGATTTATTTCCTAATTTCAGCTATGGAATTCCATACCTTGAAAAACTTGAGGTATGGAGTGCTCCATACCTTCCATAGTAGAAGTGACACCCCTGATTATGAGTAAGAGATCATCTATTTTATTAGGATGACAAACAAGCACACAGTCCACCTGAATCCTATATGGCTTATAGACACTTACATCTTACATATATTAGAATGAGAATCAAAATGTTGATGTGTTGTTTCCGCAGAGGACCAAGATAGATGCCTTGTTGACCAGTGAACAGGGTCACCAGTTCCCTACACTTACCATACGAATTGCAGCAGTATTAAGCTGCTATTTCATCTTGATATTCTTTGAGAGCCTTTCCCGGGCTAGCCAATCCATTCATACTGCAACGTGTAACCCATAGCTGCAGTGTGGCTCTTCTACGTTAAAATCATCAGACAATACCTTTACTAATTTGCAAAGACATAATAAGTGACATAATTGCCATGCATTATAGACAGATTGATGATTGCAGTACCTGATGTCTCATATCTTAGTGAGTGGTCTTCAGTACGGTTCAGATATGCTCAAAGTCAACTAAGTAGTTGCTCAAAGTTTGCACGTAGTTGTACAAACGCGTACGTAATGAACCCAATTTTATTTGTTCCAACATACTATAATATGTTATATACCATTTCATTACACCTTGTATGTGGTTCATATTTTATGTCTAAGCAATAGAAAAAATTATTATTATATTATATGTTTTGTATATTGACATAAAAAAAACGTGGCTTTGATTAATCTACAAATATAAAATCGGATGCTCATAATCAAATTAGGCAGTTAATTATAAACAAAACTAAGGAAGGAAATAAAAATCGAAATCAGGGTAAAAATATTATGAAATGAGATGTTCCAAAATGTATGGAGCCTGGGCCAGGTCCTTGTACACTATACTCAAAAATAGAGAAACACATTTGAAACAGTTCTCAACTGTCCAGTATAATGGCTTTCATTACTGGTTAAGCACAAGAAATTACACTTGAAATTGCTACACACAACAAAAACCCGTCATGGCGGTAAGCTATCATTATTATTGATTAGTGTAATATGTTCTTTATTGCCTATTGACTAAGCATAAAAATAACTAATAATATCCAAGAACTAATTATTATTGAAAGCCTAACCGAACTCACGATTACGACCAAAGAGACAAAAGTGACACTTCAGTCACTGAAAAGTGACACCGTTGTGACAACTGACAGTTCTCTTTCTATGATCAATGGTCGCTTTGTGGTTTACTGCAGAGATTATTATCAATCTTATTTCTTTTATCGCCCTCTTTGAAATCAATAATTATTTTTCAGTGCCCCCACTTTTATACACTCTTAAAACTTATAAAACTTAAAACCACAACTATTTTAATTAATTAAGTTATGGTGTGCTATATTAGTTGGTTCAGTGTTTAAACTTACATTATTAACAGTGGAGCAATTAAAACACAACTTTATAATATTAAGAATATATTTTGATCAAATTAAAAGAAACAATATATATAGATAATTAATTTTAGTTTTAAAACTAATCAAACGAGGTGGATGAATTTGATGATTTTTAACAAGTTTGTTGATATCAGGTTCGATTTTACTCAAAAACAGTAGTCGTAAGTCGCCGCGTTCTGTAACATGCAAACAATTCCCTTTTTTAGTAAGCAGCATCGTCACACAAATATGACAATGGGAATGCTATCAAAAATCGTTGAATGATCGACCACAATCAAGGTTACAACTGCGGGATTGACTTTTGTAGACAAAATTCTTGGCAGCCATTTTTGAATTTGATTTTTATTTCCTCGTTCGTTGTCAGTTCTATAAGTTCTTCTTCCAGTTGGAGTGATACTGCTATATTGACATTTGAAAAAAGATCTAACACCCAATCTGCTATTCCCAATTTCAAAATGTCCTGAAATCTTTCAATGATCACTGGAAATTTTCCGAATGTTGGCAGTAGACAAACAAGTCGTCGTTGTTGCAGGAATTTTTTTTTATAGGAGAGGGGGCAAACGTGCATGCGGCTCACCTGATGGCAAATGACTACCGCCGCCCATGAACAACCGCAACACCAGGGGAATTGCAGATGCGTTGCCGGCCTTTTAAAAAGGAATAGGCTCTTTTCTTGAAGGTCCCTAAGTCGTATCGGTCTGGAAAAATCGCTGATGGTAATCGATTCCACAAGGAAGTCGTGCGAGGAAGAAAACATCTTCTAAATCGCACAGTGGTGGACCGCCAATCATCCAGATGGTGTGGATGGTATCGGGAGTTCTGCCGCAATGTGCGTTCGTGAAATTTGGCGGCTGGGATTAATCCGAACAATTCCTCAGAGCACTCCCCATGGTAAATGCGAAAGAAAATGCAAAGGGATGCAACATCTCTTCGCAGTGCCAATGAATCGAGCCGATCGGAAATGACTCTCTCGTCGACGATTCGAGCCGCTCTGCGCTGGATGCGGTCAAGTGGAAGGAGCTGGCACTGGGGAGCCCTTGCACAGAGATGGGAACAGTATTCCATGTGAGGCCGAACCTGCGCCTTGTAAAGTTGCAGGCGGTGTGCCGGCATGAAATACTGTCCCGCTCTGCTGAGCACGCCAAGCTTGTTAGAGGCCAATTTGGCCTTCTCTTCCAAGTGACCACTAAACTGAACGTCACTCGAAATGCCGACTCCGAGGATTCCGATACTGGCTGAGGCAAGAAGGGGAGTGCCTTGAAACTGAGGAGATACGACAAAGGGGTTCTTTTTAGCGGTAAACGCGCAAACTTGTGTCTTCTGAGGTTTAAACTGGAGTAAATTTAGTCGCCCTCAATCCGAGACTTTGTTCAGTAAAGACTCGACTTCACACACAAGTTTGTTCCGGTACTCAGCGACTGATACTGATAAATTGGGAAAATTATGGAACTCACGTCTGCCGATGTTCTTCTTGTGTAAGAGCAGCTTGGCTACGAAAGCAGCGACGACATATTTTGTTTTTATTAAGTTCAAGTCATCGACTTGAAGTTGGAGATTCATATTATTAAGCAATTTATAAAGGTCTCTCAGTTATGCGATATCATTCTTTGATGTGAATAAGTTGTCGCGCAATTCTGTGTATTTGTTTTCCAAGAACTCTACGACAGAGTCAAACAGATTGTAAAATCGAGTCAGACAAGTTTCCTTTTGACAGCCAATGCACTGTTGTGTGTTCAATCTTCATCATTAGTAACACAAAGCTGATTAAATAATCGGTCATTTAAAGAGTTCTTTCGGATTTTATTGACTGCTCTGATGACATGTTGCAATGATTGAAACAGTTGTCACTTAAATTTCTAGCAACCAAATATTGTCGATGTATAACACAATGTACAGCAAGCACATCTGGAATTTAGGTTTCTTAAGTACGCTATGAAGCCTTTTTGACACCCTGTCATAGTTGGAGCACCATCTGTAGCAGCTGATGTAATATTCTTCAAGGGAATTCCTTTTTCTACACAAAACTTCGAGTGTTTTAAATATGGTTTCTCCTTTTGTGTCTGTGTTTAAATTTCTAGCAAATAATAGTTCTTGACATATATTTTCATCTTTAATAAACCTCACGTAAGACAGCAACAATGCTTCATTAGATGGTAAAATGGACTCATCCAACTGAATTGAAAATTGACTAGCCTTCAGATGATTTCACAATGACTCTTCAATGTT